GTGATGGGGGAATAGTTAGTTTTGATTTTCCCCGCGTGTCCTGATCCTCTGGTGTGGGGGGACAAAACAACATGGCGCCGGTCTAGTCAAAATAAGCTTTTATTCCCCCCATCAAGTTGGAAGTTTTGGATGGGAGAACTGGGCCAATGTGGGTGGACCTCCCATTTTTAATCATCAATTGAAAAACACCATCATAAAAATTCCATTTTTTTTAACGGTCTTGATTGAGCCCCTTTGACACATGGCTTTTGCCATTAAAAACCAAATCAAGTTATTTTGTTCATTAAACATAAGACACACTTACCTGATCAGTCAACACACATATATTTTATAGTAGTCTAATAATATAATGGAATATAACAGAATCAAATAAAAATAATATAGCTGACAACGTCTTAACTTTAGCTACTTTCTATTTATTATTAGGGGGAAATAAACCCACATCATTATTTACAAGGCGATGGCAAGCTGACAGAAAATAGTGTGACAAAATAAAAGTAGGTCATTCATTTTAGAACTCCTGTGTCACCCTGTCACAGGAAGATTTGGTCTGGTTGTTGTGGCAGTCCGTTAACCACGACAACGGACGTTGCGAAAAGTCCAGAGACTTTAAACTTTTTTTTCATGTCTGCGCGAGACGGAAACTCAGTTGCAGCGACGGTCTACTGACATTCCACCAGAGTATAAGTTAAATGTAGTTTTGACAGACACTTGTTGCATTCTAATTGTCTACAGCAGGGATCATCAACTAGATTAAGCTGCGGGCCAATTTGTTCTTGAGCGGATGGTCAGGTGGCCTGAATATAATTACAAATAATTTGTGAACTGCAAATTGACCGCAAGAAGGCTTGCAAGAACCTTGCTTACATTTGTATACGATCGAGCAAATATATCTCTATTATGCGTGGGAATATTTGGAACCGATTTCCAAAATTAAAGTCACTTGGAGCTAATTTGTTGGTGTTTCTAGTATTTGTCCACTAAAAATTATAGCCCTGGGGGGCCAAATAAAATCACTCAGGGGCCAAATTCGGCCCGCAGTCTGCCAGATGGGGGAACCATGGTCTACAGACATGTAGTTAGACCCAGTATAAACTGGCCTTGTTGGCAGACTAGATGGATGCAATTCAATGCATGATTAATACATTCACCAATCAATATCAATACGTCGCTTTCTCGGTGACTTCATCACATTTGATACATCTTTCATTGGATCAACGCCATACAACACTCCTTCAGTAGCCTCCAACTGCTCTTAAACACTAGTAAAACTAAATGCATGCTCTTCAACCGAACGCTGCTGGCACCCGCCCACCCGACTAGAATCACTACTCTCGACGGGTCTGACCTAGAGTATGTGGACAACTACAAATATCTAGGTGTCTGGTTAGACTGTAAACTCTCCTTCCAGACTCACATTAAGAATCTCCAAAGTTAAATCTAGAATCGGTTTCCTATTTCGCAACAAAGCCTCCTTCACTCATGCTGCCAAACATGCCCTCGTAAAACTGACTATCCTACCGATCCTTGACTTCGGCGATGTCATTTACAAAATAGCCTCCAACACTCTACTCAGCAAATTGGATGTAGTCTATCACAGTGCCATCCGTTTTGTCTCCAAAGCCCCATATAATACCCACCACTGTGACCTGTACGCTCTTGTTGGCTGGTCCTCACTACATATTCGTCGCCAAACCCACTGGCTCCAGGCCATCTATAAATCACTGCTAGGCAAATCCCCGCCTTATCTTAGCTCATTGGTCACCATAGCAACACCCACCCGTAGTCTGCGCTCCAGCAGGTATATCTCACTGGTCATCCCCAAAGCCAACACCTCCTTTGGCCGCAATTCCTTCCAGTTCTCTGCTGCCAATGACTGGAACAAATTGCAAAAATCTCTGAAGCTGGAGACACTTATCTCCCTCACTAACTTTAAGCATCAGTTGTCAGAGCACCTTACCGATCACTGCACCTGTACACAGCCCATCTGAAATTAGCCCGCCCAACTACCTCATCCCTATATTGTTATTTATTTTGCTCATTTGTACCCCAGTATCTCTATTTGCACATCATCTCTTGCACATCTATCATTCCAGTGTTAATACTAATTGTAATTATTTTGCAGTATAGCCTATTTATTGCCTTACCTCCATAACTTGCTACATTTGCACACACTGTATATATATGTATTTCTGTTGTATTTTTGACTTTGTTAGTCCAACAAATATTGCTATCAGGTTGTACATCACAGCTGGCCTGGTACATTGTTTGCTGCCTGCAGACATTCGGGGATGCACTGTTTCAGTTTCAATGTGACTCAATATGTTGGACACAAACAGACAAAAAATGACTAAGGCTTGCAATGTCAATACAATCAAACTAGCAAGGGCAATGGCCACAAGTCAGTCATAACGTGTCTAATAGGCTAGCGTATCTATTTCTGTAGCTATATATTAAGCAAGCTAAAAACACGGAGCCTGGGAGGATGGCATGTCATTGGGAGTTTTTGTTTTTCGGTGGCTACAGCTAGAGATGCCGGTGTCATTTGGTTAGCTAGCAAGACATGCGAATCACTTTGCTTGCTAGCTATGCTGATCTTGAATGTTATCCACAGTTGGCATACTGTTATCTATTAGTTGTCCATCAAATGTATTTGGCATCAATCAAATGCGCTGGCAGGCATGTTCCCATTCAGTTGTCAAAACCTGTGTTGGGACAAGCATGCATCATTGGCAGGCAAGCTGCAGAAGGGCAAGCAGGCTACTATTCTCCATCGTTTATCAGTGCAATTCTGACGGCCAACTATAAGAAGTAAACGTTTGAGGGTTTAGCTAGTGTTCCCATGTTTGATTTTAGCTAATCTCGCTCTGGCTAACAGTTACCTGTTGATCTTGTTGTTGTGCATAACTGAGAGAGTGAGGGAGCGCTTACCTTTTCATGGTTGTATAATCAAAAGGACTGTAAAGTTCAGAAATGTAAGAGGACTCCCGTGAGATTTACATATTTGCATAAAGCCATTCAGGTGTATTTTGTGGCTTTTGGCGAATGCTTTCTAATGATCTGAAGTCTGTGTAGAGTCTGGTTCTGGACAAGACTGCAATGTTTTCCCCCAGTTTTATTTACTGCAGTGTCTTTTAATTGTCCAAACGCACGGCTGCTTTCCCACTCTATATTGCTATAGACCACACCCCTAAGACTGAAATCAAATTTTTCTTAATGAGCAACAGAAAAACATATGCAGAATCGGTTCGTTTAGTCTCTAAGGGTGAAATTGTCTGTTGTCGGAGGTAGGCTACACTCCGCCAAAACTCACTGCCTCGTCACTAAACTCCATAGAGTATCGTGGAGTAGTTTACAACCCTAGCTGTGGTCTAGGTTGCCCGGTTTCTGGGTCTAGTTTTAGAACACACCCACCTTGCCAGCTATTTGCTGACTGTATATCCATAATCAGTATACGGATTTGATGAAGAGGTCGTTGTTTGCGTCGCCGAGCAGTGTCCAACGAATAATTTAATCAACCCCCCCCCCCCCCCCCCCTCCAAAACAAAACATGAATTCTATGTTGACTTCTCACTTTGCACACACACCCGTCTGTGTTTCACACCCGTTTGTCCTAGCTGATCAGCCTAGCACCGGGGGTGTGTTCACTTCAATTGAACATTTGCTACTTTTCATAACGGTTTGTACTGAACGACACATTTCCCCAAAACGTTATTGAACAGACTGAGGTACGTTTGGTGGGTGTTGCTTGAAGCAGGCAGTGACGTATTTAAAGGACAGCGGCCATGCTGACCACGTCCCACAACCCAACCCCTCCTCGTTTTGAACCTACCGTTGAGAACACCTCCGTTTTAATTGAACGTTGCAGTACTTTGTTTCGTACTGAACACAGCTCATGCACCATACTGCCGCAAGACAAGCAGTTGAACGGAGCGTGTGCAAGCAAACATTGACATCGTGTTTGGTTTTGATTTGGAGTGGGGATGGTAGCGTCTAACAATTGGATGTCATTCTTTCCAGGCCACCGCTGGGCGATTCAAACAACGCATTCTTTATCAGAACGGTCCACAAAGTGGCAAAAGCATTGCCGAACAGGCAGATGGACACTGGTCTCTAAACGTGTCTCTAGTAAGTGGGCTAATGTTATACTGCTAGACAGAGACGCCATCTATCAACTTAGACCGTCTTATCAGCAGGCAGGAATCTAAAAGAAGTGCCCCGCCAGGATGAGCAAGTCTGCTGTCGCACCGCCAGAATCACCTGCCCGCTGAGAGGTCTGGGTATGGGGAAAATGAGATGCATTTCATTTCGCCATTGTAAAGTCTGGTTGGTGGCCCACATTTGGTATGCACATTAGAATGCACCTTTAACACAAAAGTGAATGGTCGTAGGGATAGAATGGGGGTAGGGATAGAATGGGGGTAGGGATAGAATGGGGGTAGGGATAGAATGGGGGTAGGGATGGAATGGGGGTAGGGATAGAATGGGGGTAGGGATAGAATGGGGGTAGGGATAGCAGAAGAGACCATTACCTCGTGCTAACATGCTGCTAATCAGTATAATAGTTCCTTCATGTTTGAGTGAACCGACTACCTTTTCATAAGCTCATAGAGTTGGCTTACATTGAGTTTCCTGTGTGTGTGTGTGTTTGTTCTTATTTAAGGACAGTTGGACATACTCGGGCCTGCTCCTCTCCTTCAATGCTGGAAGCGGCACTTGGACTGATTTTCACGTGAGCACAGGAGCGTATTTGGTCTGCGCGCGGCACTTGGACTGATCTTCACGTGAGCACAGGATCGTATTTGGTCTGCTCGGAAGGAAAGATCGAGAAGTCATGCTTTGCATCTAAAAGCGACAGAACCGCTTTGGTGGGCCGCCTGCCTGCTGAGTGCTCGTTGCTAATTGGGGATTGTGAGAAATTGGAAGAGTAACCAGCTGGCTAGTCATCACTCACCAAACCGTTTAATCTATTACCTTGTTTGCCACCTGAGTAGGACAAAATGAGTCCAGAGAGAGAAACGCTGTTGGATGACATAGAACAGAGTTTATGGACTTTAACTGAGGATAATTTACGTTATCTATGTGAGCGTTGTGGAATATGTGGCAAAGATGGATCTGAAGTCCAAGGAAAGAGTGTACGCTCACTGCATCGTAAAATAATGAAGGAATATTGTGAGAATGCTGATTTAACAGAATCAAAGGGCCAGGGAACGTCTCGGTTACTCCAACTGAAAGAAGACATTAAAGGAATACAGGAAGATGCCAGTGGTGCGCCCACGAGTCCCAGCCAGTCGGCGACAGCGGAGGTGGGCAGCTCACAAGCATGCTGCGATGGAGAACAGCATGAGGAGGGAGGGGTTTGGTTTCCCAGCAGGAAGCTGGAGGCAGACCCAGTTCCACAGTGGCTCATTATACCACAGCAGAGGGAGAGAGTGAGAGGGGTGAGTATTCCCAGTTATAAGGAGTTCAACATTCATGAACTGATAGATCTGAATCAGGAAGATTAACTCGGCCTCAGCAGCAAAGGTCCTAGAACATCATGTTGAAAAATAGACTGTGAAAGGGATACAGTGAACTGTAATATAGAAGCAGTTATTATGTCTCTGTTTTACCAGGTAATTGCAATGAGTTAACCTTTTCAAACAGTCAAACAATTTCACACACTAACAAAGATACAGGGTGAGGAAATGGTGACAACCGACTGCTACCTTGCCGCTAACCCGTTGAAACAGTTGTTTTTACATTTGAGGTTACCAAGCTCCCCTTCTGTGTGTGGTGGTTTTTGTGTTTTTTTTTTTTTTTTTTTAGAACGGTGAAGCCGAACCCAATTCGCCTCTTTCTTTCAAGTCTGAGACCAAATCTACAGAGTCACTCAGTCCTGGCTGTGACGGTGGAGCCCAGGGTGGACAGCAGGGCTCCAGAGACGGTGTCTTGGCGGGCTCTCTAAAGAGGGTTACAGTGCTGCTGGACGACTGCAGATTTATGCTGGGCCAGAGAGTCAACATCAAAGTGGAAGAGGAGGAGGAGATGATTTCTGTCTTCGCTAATGATGGTATGAACAGAACAGATTATGAACAGAACAGAGTGCATTGAAAACCCACTACAGGGGGTGATGAAGTCGCATCGTGTTCAGGGCATGTTTAAAAAAAAAATATATATATGTTTTTAGAAGATTATATATTTGACCCTGACTCCTTGGGTGTCTAGTCCAATCGCTGGAAGGCGCAGTGTCTACTGGTCACTGCAGAGGAGTTGGGAAACACATGTTCTACAACATATCCTATCCCACAAAGTTATTGATTCCTAGATATAATAGAACAGTGTGTGACCTAATAGAAGTTGTCCTTTTGCTGTTTTATTGTGTTTAATGACTGTCTACTGCTGTAATGCCAAACGTGTTCAACGTTGATATGGTGTAACTTGTTGCAGCAGCTGACACGTTTTTCTGTTGTCGTTCATACAGGAGAGAGCTCTGAGTCCTCAAGTCCTCACAGTTCTCAACGCGAGAAGAGCTCCAAAAAACAATCACATCTTAAACGGCACCTGCACACACACTCTGGAGAGACGTCTTCCCACTGTTCAGGTAGCAAAGAAAGCCTCTCTACTGTGACCTTGTCAAAGAGACCCAAGAGAGTCCATCCTAAAGAGAAGTTTCATAACTGCTCTGACTGCGGGATGAGTTTCTCTTCAGCGGGATGTCTCAGGAAACACACGCTGTTGTTCCATTCGGGAGAGAAACCCTTCCACTGCCTAGAGTGTGGCGAGAAGTACACTAGATCAGATCAGTTGAAAGATCATATGGTGATACATTCTGGTGTAAGACCTTACCAATGCCCTGACTGTAAAAATACATTCTCTAGCAGTAAATGTCTCAAAATGCACTTGCGAACTCACTGTGCTGACCGGCCTTTCCACTGCTCACAGGGTGAGATGTACAAAGAACATTCAGCTCTTGCTGCACACCTGCGAGTGCACTCTAGAGAGAAGCCTCACCACTGCTCTGACTGTGGGATAACGTTTTCCACGGTGCAGGCTTTAAAGAAACACCGGCAGTTACAATGTCAGGAAGTATCACATGCTGTAGTAAAAAGTTTAGATCCTAATCAACATCTGTTAGTACATTCTGGAGAGAAATCGTATCAATATCCTTACTGTGAGAAGAATACAAGAGCACCAGACAATACTCAACATCTGTACACACACACCGGAGAGACTCCTTACCGTTGTGCTGATTGTAATTCATATTTCGTTAATGCATTACAATTTAAGAGACACAAGCAAGAGCACACTGGAGAGAAGCCTCACCTCTGCTCCAAATGTGGTCTTCGTTTCATTATAGAAGAGGACTTAAAAAAACATGAAACGATTCACACAGAGAAGCCTCACCCCTGCTCTGACTGTGGGCGAAGTTTTTCTACAGCGCGGTATTTAACTAGACACAAGCGGATACATTTAGTGATTAAGCCTTTTTGCTGCCCCCACTGTGACAAGGGGTACACCAATTCAGAACAGTTAAAAGTTCATATGATGACGCATACTGGGGAGCGGCCTTACCAATGTGTTCAATGTAAGAAGAGTTTTAAAACCAAGCCACATCTTAAATACCACCTGTTAATTCATGAGGTAGAGGTGTTTCACCACTGCGCTGACTGTGATCAAAGGTTCTCCGCTGAGGAGACTTTAAAGGAACACATGCAGTTACACAAGGGAGAGAAACCTTTCCACTGTCTGCAATGTGAGAAGAGGTACAGTACTTCAGATGAGTTGAAAGAACATATGATGACTCATACCGATTCTCAGCCTGATTCTGATGGGTCACCAAGTTCCAGAAATGTAGAAGAACAATGTCAGGAAATACATGCTGTCGAAAAATTTTCCAATCTTAATCAACACCTGCAAGTACATTCTGGAGAGAACCCTCGCCCCCATCAGTGCCCTAACTGTGAGAAGGGTTTCTCAAAACAATCGCATCTTAAAGAACACTTGCTTTTACACGCTGGTGAGAGACTTTACCAGTGCTCGCAGTGTGAGAAAAGTTACACGACTTCCAGAAGATTAAAAGATCATCAGACAAACATGCATATAGAAAAGCCTTGTATTTGTTCTGACTGTGGAAAGAGCTTCGCTCAACTACGCAGCCTTACTAGGCACCAGCGAACACACACTGGGGAAAAGCCTCACCAGTGCCCCATCTGTGAGAAGAGTTTCTACATAAAATCAACTCTTCAACAACACTTGGACGTACACGCTGGCAAGAAACCTTACCAGTGCTCTCATTGTGAGAAGAGTTTCTCAAGGCAATTACAACTTAAGCTACATATGTACTCGCACACTGGAGAGCAAACTTACCATTGTGCTGATTGTAATTCATATTTCCTTTATGCGTTACAATTTAAGAGACACATGCAAGAGCACACTGGAGAGAAGCCTCACCTCTGCTCTGACTGTGGTCTAACCTTTCCTATCGAAGAGGACTTAAAATCACATGAAAGGATTCACAGAGGAGAGAAGCCTCATCACTGCTCTGACTGTGGGCGAAATTTCTCCTCAGCAGGATGCTTAAACAAACACAAGCTCTTACATCTGGTACAGAAATCTTTCCAATGTGAGCAATGTGATAAGAAGTTCTCAAGATCAGATCAGTTGAAAGTTCATATGTCAAGACATACTGGAGAGAAACCATACCAATGTCCTGAATGTGATAAAAGTTATTATCTTTCCAACCTCTTACAAAAACATCTGAGTATAACGCACAGGGGAGAAAAACCTTACCTTTGCTCTGACTGTGGAAAGTGTTTCGGTTACCGACACCAACTCACAGTCCACCAGCGAACGCACACTGGGGAAAAGCCTTTTGTCTGCTCTGAGTGTGGAAAACAGTATTCCAATGGATATGGCTTGAAGATGCATCGGCGAACACATACAGGAGAGAAACCTCACCAATGTCCTGACTGTGATCAATGTTTCATCCGGGTAGATTCCCTTAAACACCATCAATCATCAACGCATACAGGGAAGTGGCGTTTCAACTGCATTGTTTGTGGAAAAGGTTTCTCGTCTAGCTGTGAGCTAAAAGGCCACATGCGCTGTCATAGTGGAGATAAACCTTATCGATGCCCCGTCTGCGAGAAGCGTTTCACGCTCGCGGGAACCTGTCGAGAACACCAGAAAACTCACACCGTGAGAGAGAATCCTCACGCCTGTACTGATTGCGAAAAGAGTTTCGTAAATGCACATAGACTAACGATACACAAGAGGGTACATACTGGTGAGAAGCCATACCACTGCTCTGACTGTGGGAAGAACTTCACTCAATTGACAAGCCTAAATAGGCACAAGGTCAAACAACACAAAATGACATAGAAGAAAACAGGCCTGAACATGTCCAAGGAAATATCACTGTGCTGCTACCATACAGTACCATCAGAAAGCATTCACACAACCCTTGACTTTTTCCACATTTTGTTGTGTTACAGCCTGAATTTTAAAAAAAATGGATGTCACTGGCCTACACACAATACCCCATCATGTCAAAGTGGAATAATGTTTTAGGAAATGTTTACAAATTCATAGAACATGATAAGCTGAAATGTCTTGAGTCAATAAGTATTCAACCCCTTTTTTTTTTTGTTATGGGCAAGCCTAAATAAGTTCAGGAGTGAAAATGTGCTTGAGTTGCATGGACTCACTTTGTGTGCAATAATAGTGTTTAACATGATTTTGGAATGAGTACCTCATCTCTCTACCCCACACATACAATTATCTCTAAGGTCCCTTTGTCGAACAGTGAATTCCAAACACAAATTCAACCAGAAAGACCAGGGAGGTTGATTGGTTGATCTATTGGCAGCTGGGTTAAAAAAAAAAAGCAGACATTCCTTTGAGCATGGTGAAGTTATTAATTACACTTAGGATGGTGTATCAATACACCCAGTCACTACAAAGATACAGGCGTCCTTCCAAACTCAGTTGCCGGAGAGGAAGGGAATTCACCACTAGGCCAATGGTGACTTTAAAACAGTTACATAGTTTAGTGGCTGTAATAGCAGAACACGATCAACAACATTGTGGTTACTTCACAATACTAACCTAATTGACAGAGTGAAAAGAAGAAAGCCTGTACAGAATAAAAATATTCTAAAACATGCATCCTGTTTGCAAGAAGGCACTAAAGAAATACTTCAAAAATTTGGCAAAGCGATTTACTTTTTGTCCTGAATACAAAGTGTTATGTTTGGGACAAATACAACACATTACTGAGTACCGCTCTCCATATTTTCAAGCATAGTGGTGGCTGCATCATGTTATGGGTATGCTTGTAATTGTTAAGTACTGGGGAGTTTTTGAGGATAGAAAATAAAAAAAAGACACTGAATGGAGCTAAGCACAAGCAAAATCCTAGGAAAACCTGGTTCAGTCTGCTTTCCACCAGACATTGGGAGATTAATTCACCTTTCAGCAGGACAATAACCGAAAACACAAGGACAAATCTACACTGGAGTTGTTACCAAGACGACACTGAATGTTCCTGAGTGGCCACGTTAGTTTTTACTGAAATATTTTACAAGACCTGAAAAATGGTTGTCATGCAATGATCAACAACCAATTTGACAGAGCTTTAGTATTTTGAAAAGGATAATGGGCAAATGTTGCACAATCCAGGGGTGGAAAGCTCTTAGACATGCACAGAAAGACTCACAGTTGTAATCGCTGCCAAAGGTGATTCTACAAAGTATTGACTCGGGTGTGAATATTTACGTCATTCGATATTTCTGTATTTCATTTTCAATAAATTAGCAAACATTTCTAAAGCCGTGTTTTCACTGTCATTATGGGGCATTGTGTGTAGATGGGTGGGCACTTGTATACCGACAATATTGTTTTCTATGCTAAGCTTTATCTAAACTACAGCCTGTTTTTAAAGAAATACTTTATTGACCTGAAATTAGTATTGAATGCGGGTAAAACGAAGTAACTGATGATTTAATCATATGTACTTTGGATGGTGCCCATATTGATCATGTCCCTGCTTACAAATATCGGGGCATCTGGATAGATGAAAAGCTGTCTTTTATAAAGCATATTGAAGATGTATTTTATTTTATCTTTTATAAATAGGTCTTGCCTCTCACTAAATAGTAGAAAGCAGATCGTTCAGTCGACGTTCCTACCGGTCCTAGACGATGGCGACATCATCTGTATGAACGCAGCTGCCGCTTCATTAAAGCCGTTAGATGCAGTTTATCACAGCGCACTGACAGGTTCTAGTACTCATCACTGCATTCTCTAAAAGAAAATTGGTTGGTCCTCTGATGTCGTGTAGGTTGTGTTCATTTATAAAGTCCTTTTACAAAAACTCCCACTGTACCTAACATCATTACTAACCTTTAGACATACAGTAAGAGTTACATCACCTGGTCTCAGGGATGGCTAACTCTGGACATTCCTTTGGTCTCTACTGAGTTAGGTGAATCATCTTTCCGATGTTTTGTTTTCTTTTTTTTTTTGGAACAATCTTCAATATGTTTGGAAATGTGATGTTTTGATGCCTCTATGGCAATTCAGAAAGCTGGTTTAGGACCTTTATTACTGATAAATGTGTTTGTTTTTAATGACCATGTTTTTTCATGTGTGTATTTCTGTAATTCAGGGCTCATCTGTAAAAGACACCTTGGTCACGGTATGACTACCTGATTTAAAAAAAATTGATGTATATATTTTTTTTAACGTACAATTGTAGTTAGCATGTGAACATATGGTGAGGTAGTCATCATAATGAAGACAGTCTGCATATAAGAAGAATACAGTTGAAGTCGGAAGTTTACATACACCTTAGCCAAATACATTCAAACTCAGTTTTTCACAATTCCTGACATTTAATCCTAGTAAAAATTCCCTGTCTTAGGTCAGTTAGGATCACCACT